TTCTCAGTCTCCTTTGCTGGCTCCGTTTCTTTTCCCAATATATAAATGTTGAGGCTTCATACGGTTTAGTCCTAGCCCTCCTATCTTCTCTCTATACTCTCTCCTTAGGCTATCTGACCTCACACCTCTCCTCCCATCCCCCAAAGATATCAGTTATAAGCTATATATTAGCCATCTCTAAATTTACCTCCAGTCCAAATTTCTTTGCTGAGCTCTTGATTTACATGTGCAATTGCTAGTAGACATCTCTATTTGTATGCTCCACTGTCAAATTTTGTCTAAAAGTGAATTATGATCAACAATCATACAAATTGACACTAACAAACAAAAACTGCTTCCCTGAAACTAACAAACAAAAAACTGCTCCTCCTCTCCCACTATGCCCTATCTCAGGCACAAGAACTACTAACCCTGGAAATCAATCTTCCTCTCTACCTAGGGCCCCAAATCTAATTCTTCACCAAATCCTATCAATTTTACCTCCTGAGTATTTGTCAGATCCAGCTACTTTATTGTTATCATCACCATCCTAGACCAAGATTCCATCATCTCTTACCTTAACTACTGTAATAGCTGAACTTATTCAAATGTAGTCTGTGGACCAATACTGGTCCACAAACTTTTGTTATTCATCTGAGACAAAGTAAATACAGAAACTAAGAGCAAGCATTTAGAAACCTTTATAGCAATAATCTGACACTATCACACCATCCATTTTACTGTGTTTTACAAAAGAACCAGTCTCCGACAGACAGAAAATTAAAATATAACAAAACTAGTCCTTCACTGCAGATAAGTTTGAGAAGCACTGGCCTAACTGGTCTCCCTGCAAGTACGCTCTCTCTCTCCAATCAGACCTCCATGAGCAGCCAAGTGATGTCTTACAGCAAAAACATGAGTAAATTACTGTCATTTTAACATCTTTCAGTGGTTTCCCTGTACAGAGCTCTGACAATTAAGAACAAAATACTTAGCACGGATTTTGGCCATTGTGATCGGCTCCAGTTTCATTTTGCATCATCCAACCTCACGTGCTAAGGTCCAGCCCTTACTGAACTTATCAGTTCCAGAAAGCTAAACTCGCCAACACTTGGGTGACTCCAGTTCATCCTTCAGGTTATCAGCGTAAAGGTTAAAAGTTATTTCTTCAGAGAATCATTCCCTTATACCCCTGACAGAACAGTATCCTTTCATTGTATATAGTATTTTTCCTTCGTAGCACTTATCATAACTGCAATTACTATTTTTGTAATTATTTGTTTAATTTCTTTATTCCTCAACAGACTTTTGCCTCCATGAATAAAAAAAAAAACTCATTGCCATCCAGTCAATTCCAAGTCATTGCGACCCTCAGGACAGAGCAGAACTGTCCCACAGGGTTTCCAAAGAGTGGCTGGTGGGTTCAAACTGCCAACCTTTTGGTTAGCAGCCAAGCTCTTAACCACTGTGCCCCCAGGGCT